CGAGCGTGTACACGGGGGCCTCCGCTCGGGACTCGATTTACGGCCCAGCGCATCAATCACCGCTAAACGACTCCAGCAGCGAGCGCCCTTGGAAGACCGCGCGACGGGAGGGGGGGGGGTTTCTCTCTCTCTCTCTTACAGTTTTAACATCTCCGATTTCCCATTTTGATTTCGCTACTGATCGGCGGTCATAACGCGACTCCTCGGAGCTCGCTTTGGGACGTTATCGATAACCGCTGTCAGGACGCGGGTAGGGGGGGGGGGGAAGTCGGGGTTGGGGGTGTTCAATCGTACAGGACTATTGCTCTCCTCTATTGCTCTGTACAAGCGAGATGTTAACGCCCTCGCCTGGTATACAGGAGGTCGTGGGGTTGCGCGTCTCTCTCTTTCTCTCCCCGTGGTCGCGTGAATTTTTCTCCGGGTCCTCCGCATTTAGAATCAATGCGCCGTTTAGAGTATTTGGTTACTCTAAATGTTCGCGCAGTGAGCCACTTAATTGAGCTTTCATTCGTGGTCAGGTCGCATCTGGAAAGGAGCTATGTAGCTCACCAGGCCATACGTTAAAATAAAAAAGATTAATTCATTTAGTTTACAAGTGCGGTGCGCGGTCTCTACTCGTGCTCAGAATGGGTTTATGTTTTATCAATCCATATAATGTAATGGTAACGATTACCACCTGGGCAGTAAGGTGAGTCACGTTTTTTACATATTCTATTGTGGGGGGGAGGGGGTAGGTGCCCAGTGGATAGCGCACAGCTCCCATGTACCTGGCCGAGCCGAGTTCGATTCCCGCTCACAGCCAACACCAGTGACGATTATCCAAACCGGTCCTGAGCTCTCCCTTGGCCGACTCAGCTTCAATTGAATACTTGCTGGACATGTACACAGTACATCGCCTGCTGCACATGTACACAGTACATCGCCTGCTGCACATGTACACAGTACCTCGCCTGCTGCACATGTACACAGTACATCGCCTGGTGCACATGTACACAGTACATCGCCTGGTGCACATGTACACAGTACATCGCCTGGTGCACATGTACACAGTACATCGCCTGCTGCACATGTACACAGTACATCGCCTGCTGCACATGTACACAGTACATCGCCTGGTGCACATGTACACAGTACATCGCCTGGTGCACATGTACACAGTACATCGCCTGCTGCACATGTGAACACAGTACATCGCCTGCTGCACATGTACACAGTACATCGCCTGGTGCACATGTACACAGTACATCGCCTGCTGCACATGTACACAGTACATCGCCTGCTGCACATGTGAACACAGTACATCGCCTGCTGCACATGTACACAGTACATCGCCTGCTGCACATGTACACAGTACATCGCCTGCTGCACATGTACACAGTACATCGCCTGCTGGACTTATACGCAGTACATCGCCTGCTGGACATATACGCAGTACATCGCCTGCTGGACATGTACACAGTACATCGCCTGCTGGACATGTACACAGTACATCGCCTGCTGGACATGTACACAATACATCGCCTGGTGCACATGTACACAGTACATCGCCTGCTGGACATGTACACAGTACATCGCCTGCTGGACATGTACACAGTACATCGCCTGCTGCACATGTACACAGTACATCGCCTGCTGGACATATACGCAGTACATCGCCTGCTGGACATATACGCAGTACATCGCCTGCTGGACATGTACACAGTACATCGCCTGCTGGACATGTACACAGTACATCGCCTGGTGCACATGTACACAGTACATCGCCTGCTGGACATGTACACAGTACATCGCCTGCTGCACATGTACACAGTACATCGCCTGCTGGACATGTACACAGTACATCGCCTGGTGCACATGTACACAGTACATCGCCTGGTGCACATGTACACAGTACATCGCCTGCTGGACATGTACACAGTACATCGCCTGGTGCACATGTACACAGTACATCGCCTGGTGCACATGCACACAGTACATCGCCTGCCGGACATGTACACAGTACACCGCCACTCGGGAGAGAAATGCCTCTGGTGTGGCCATCCACCCCTCTCGCGTCCCGTTCAGCGCTTGCCCCACAAGTCTGTTATGGCTACAAGGGGGATATTTATCTTTGCGTATCACATTGTACACGCTGCACCACCTCGACATGTGGATGTGGAGGTCTACAGACCCAATGCTGTGTATCTCGCCGACTTGTTCCCCGTGTTGCTTATGCGTGATGTCCGACGTTTCGCTCCACGTCCCCGGAGCCTCTTCAGTTCCTGGATGTCATTAAGGCAGATTATGACCGACATCTCGTTAGAGAAATAACTCAAAGGCGACACACGTGAATTAATTAACAGCATTGCGACGACGCGGGTAAATTGCCCCTGCGAGATATTTAAACGTCCTAATGACGACCCGTCAATCACAGAGCTTACGACTATATAGGTCATAGGTTTTTTATACATACTAGTGTAAGTATAATCATAATACTGCAATGCGAAATGGGGGCTTATACAACAAAATGATAGATTAAAATCATTGCCTTCAATAGACGAACGATGTATAATGAATGTGTATAATTTTACGACGGTAAATTGCATTGCCCTTAATTGCTGAAATTTGCTCGGACCGTGTGCGTAATTATTGAGCCGGCAGTTAATGTAATGTACATCCAATTATACGCGCTCGGTGTATGGGTACACGTCTGTGTGTACGTGGGGCGAGATGTTAACTACCTCGCCAGGTATACAGGAGGTCATGGGTTCGATCCCGACTCTGACGCATATTCTCCCCGTGGTCGCTTGGAATTTTTTTCCGGGTCCTCCAAATATAGAATCAACGCGCGTTAAAAGTATTTGGCAACTATCGTGGTCCACGTGATAAGCCACTTCGTTGAGCTATCATTTGTGATAGCCAGGTCGCTTCTGGAAAAGAGCTACATCGCTCAGTGGGCCTTACACCTGGTAAATTTTAAACAAAATAAAACATTTTGATTTAAAGCTTTCGTGACTGCAGGGATTCTTATTCTTGGTTCTTTCGGTAAAGTCACGTGACTTTACCGAAAGAACCAAGATAAATAAAACATATATTGTATATATGTGTGTATGTGCGTAGTTAGCGCATTGCACTAGGAACCCGGCGAGCTGGGTTTGAATCCCGATCACGGCTAACAATTAGCGGCCAGTAAAAAAAATTACATCGACAGTGCTTGGGGAAACAAAGGCGGCCGGGTGTGGTGTCAGGCCACAGCATCGCTTAATGCAGGCCCGAATTGAAGAGCGCTAACAGCACTTGTCCCAAAGCGAACAGCTGTTAAAGTCTACACGTGGGACCTTTGTCTTTGTATGGATGTGTGTGCGAAATATATTGCTGTGTACGTATATATGTGTGTGTGTCTGCGGTAGTGCAGCGGTTAGCGCTATGCTGCGCTATGAACCCGGCGACCCGGGTTCGATTCCCGCTCACGGCCAACACCCAGTGACAATTATCTGAACCGGTCCCGGGCCACCCCTAGGTCGCCTCAGCCTCAAATTAATACCTGGTGCGGTGTGTAAACATCGCCACCGGGGAGACAAAGGCGGTCGGGCGTGGTTGCTGGCCACCCACCCCCTCGTGTACCCCGTTTCATAGGTGCTCGCTAACGGCACTTGCTTCTACAGTCCGTTAAAGCTTTGTCTTTTTTGAGTCTCTGTACTACGTGTACGTGTGTAAGTGACCCAGAAGTTTGTTATGGCTATAGTGGTGGAGGATCGGGCGTTGTTGTCTGTGTCTATGCGTGTACATGTGCTGTGACGGTGAATCGTTGCCTTATAGTGCAACGACATGAAGGGTGCTTCAAAACAAATGTTAACGCTTCCGAGAATTTGCAACAATGCTACAGGACACGTGCCTCCAGGCTCTGGAGACCACCTGGAGAAGATTCCAGGCCACGTGCTGACAACGATGGCGAACAAGTGGAGACTTTTTGAAGCTATTAACATGACATTTGTTATCACGTTACAGTGTATTATGCGTTCTTTTTCCATTAAAAACGATAGTCCCATGTAAGTGTTTTTGCAGCACCGTGTATTTTCTATATATAGCTATGTTATATATCATCATCATGTTTACGCGCCTACAAGGGCCTGCACCAAGCCGCTGGGCAGTAGCAGCCGAGGTGGAACCCAATCGAAGCCGTCGATGAGCCGCAGTTCGCCACGGCGATCGGTCTTCCGTGGCCGCTGTAAAACCAACCCTGACGCCTGCTGCTGTGCATTTGGAGTTTGCATCTCTCTCTCATCATCATCATCATCACGGTGACTAGGAGATGTTAACTAACCTCGCCTGGTACGCACGAAGTCGTGGGTTCGATCCCGACCCTGACGCCTGCTGCTGCTGTATATTTGGAAATCAACATCGCGCGTTTCAAGTATTTGGCTGCTATACATTTGCACGCGATGACCAGCCAACTCCGTTGAGCTATCATTTGTGGCCAGGTAGCTTCTGAAAAGAGATGTATATAGCTCAGTGGGCCTTACCTCGCAAAAATACAAAAACAGTTTAGTTTACAGTTGTAGTTTTACATTCCAGTTATCGGCGGCAGCTGTGCGGGATCCATCCCCGCATTCCTGTTTATAATATTAAGTGTTTAGATTATTTAAGTGTTTTTATTTTAAGCACTTGTGTTGCCCGCACATCTGACGCGTTGTGTCTCCGACGTTACCTGTTCCTCCGTACGCATTGTTGTTGTTGTTGTTCTTGCACCACGGGTCTAGCTTGCAAACTATAACCGGGTAACTGGCTGCACGAGACTCTCCGCGGAACGCACGCACGCACACCGATCGATTTGATTCATTGATCCTTGGAGCCCGAGCCAGTTCCGCAACAGGCCTGGCATCGCGTCGTCATTATTTCCGAAGCGCTCGACGCGACTCTACGTCCAGAGCGGCTCGGGTCGACTCAACGCTCGCTTGCGACTCGCTTGCGTCCGCGCGACCTCCGCGTCCCGTGACCCCGTCCCGCCCGTCTCTCGGCAGAGACGGAGAAGGCGCAGGCGGGCAAGGCGGACGAGGCTGGGGGCGAGGATCCGTCCAAGAAGAAGAGGCAGCGGCGGCAGCGGACGCACTTCACGTCGCAGCAGCTGCAGGAGCTGGAGGCGACCTTCCAGCGCAACCGCTACCCGGACATGTCCACGCGGGAGGAGATCGCGGTGTGGACCAACCTCACCGAGGCGCGCGTCCGGGTCAGTTCACGCGGCGACTCGCGAACCCACTACCGCCATCCCCACTCCCCTCGCGTCCCCCCCCCCCCCCAAGCCCACCGCGCCCCCCCAACCCAAGCACCCCCCCCAACCCCCACCCCCCCACCGAGCATGGTTTACGAATTCGCGCGTGCACCCGGCGCGTACCCTTCGGGTTACCGCATGGAACGGTGGGCCAAGACACGTGCTGGTTAACTTGTCGTTACCACTAGAGATGGTCGATACATTAAAGATAATGTATATACATATGCGTACGTATGTTACTGTATGTTGAACTTGTTTCGCACAGTACGTAAGCCAGCGGTGCTAAGCGGATGTGGTTAACAATCAATCATCGGGCACGTGCAGCGAGTTCATTTGTATTTGAATGGGGAGGAGTTAGAGGCGTCGTGTTGGCCAACCACCCCCTCGCGTGCCGTTCCGGCCTTCATCAGGTGCCACTCGCTAACAGCACTTGCCCCAACAGTCTGTTAAGGGCTACACGGGGGGTCTTTGTCTTTGTAGATTGGTAAACGCGGAACGACGGAGCGTGGTGGTCGTGGGGCTTGCGGAGGATTGGAGTTTCGGAAACCGTGCGGGCTAAGCATTTACCAAACGTAACATTCTATAAATCGCTAAACACAAGGATGCAATTCAGACAACTCCCTGGTATTATCGTATGCTATATATTATGTTGTGTACACTATTTCCATGTATACACACGTAATAATATACGTGCATGTATACACACACACTGTTGTACAATGAACCAACACCGAATAGCCGAATTTGTGAATTAATAGTTACAGTACATGAATAGTTACCGAACCAGGAGGATGTCTCCACAAATGTGGCTGTCGCCTGATTATGCTGCTAGTTGCAGTTACTGGCAAAACGTGGCACTCGACTTGTAAATGTTGTGGGTTCACTCTCCAGCACACAACCGAATTGGCCACGTTTTGTTCACGTGACGAAACATTACTGATCGGCTGTGTCGGGTGGTGCCGGGGTTTAACGACACATTTACGTGATCTAACCCAAAATAACTTCCATTATGGACAATAGTTACAGTGTAATACAGGTTGTTTTTATATTAGATCACGTAAATATTTAAATGTGTCGTTAAACCCGCCACCACCCGACACAGCCAACTAGTAAGGGTTGTCACGGAAACCGAACGTGGCCAATTCGTCACTAGTACAGCAACACGGTGTGTTGGAGAGTCAAGCCACAACATTTGAGTACGACGTTTCGGCAGTGATTACGACCAGCTTCATCAGGCGACAGACAGATTTCACGCTGCCGCCAGGCAATCTCACGGAGCACTGTGGCCGCAATACATCGGTCCCTGCTCCCCCCCCCCCCGAAACATCGCTCATTTAGCCCGCTCTATGCCCTTTAACCCAGTGGTTCTTAACCCTTTTCTGCAGCCCTGCAACACCATTCGGTTCTCATTCGTATTTTTTAAAAAATAAAACAATGTTAATAAATACATAGGGTGCTGATGAAACAAAATTGCTCTTTCGATGAATTTACCTCCTAAAAAAAAAACCTGGCCACGTCTTGCAACCTCTACAGGGGGTGCGTGCGTGAACCCCGGGTTACGAAGCACCGACTTTTAACGCTACAGGAGGTGTGCACGCGACGGGGGAGGGGGGGGGGGGTCTTTGTCTCGAGTCGTGTGAGTCTCGTCTGCTCGCAAGAGGCCAACGAGCAACGATGCCCTCTTTAGCGATGCGTGGGTAACAGGGCGGGCGTGCAGTTTGTGTGTGTGTGTACTGTCGCAGGCTGACGTTTCAGGCAAATGGCTCCGAAGAAGGTGCGTTGAGATGGGTCGTTGTACGTAACGTTTTGCCTGCTCTGTGTATTCCCTGTTAGAGCTGCATTGTCAACGACTAAATGTGGCGATTTTTTGCGTGTTTTATATGTATGTGTAAAGTATACTTATCTGTGCAGAATAGACAAATGTAGTCGCTCATATTCAACTGTATAGGGCTGTGCGTGTGGTAGCTTCACATAAATGTCGTGTACATATGTACAAATAGATACACTACATATATAAACTATATATACACACACGGTAGTGTAATTATGTGCACGTAACAACGCGCTGTGCGAGTGTACGTTCGGCCATACGAGTGCATGCCCCGTGTGTCCGTATCCTTACGCATCTTCAGCGAGCTAAGCGGCGTGCGTCTTTGCACGGGCGTCCGCGCAATGCAAAAGCCATTTAAATTCGGCCAAATATCTAAAAAATAAATGAATGCATCGATATTCCTGCGGGCGGAGTGAACTCGCCAAGCAGTAAAAACCCAGCGTCAGGTCAACTCCGCTTATCCTCGCAGCAGCAGCGGCGGCGGCTTTTGGCTGCGATCAAAGGCGGTGGTGGCCGCATCGCGCGGCGCTTTCAGATGCGCTTCTGCGGCCGTCTGGAACGCTCCTCCCTTCCGATTATTAGGAAGCCACTGAGAGCTGTGCACTTTTATATCTCGACTGAAAACTCATTTGTTTAGAACTTACTTTCGCGTGCAGTTTCTTGTCCTTCACTCGCACCTCCGATTACCACCGTTTGGCTACGTACGATGCAAAATAAGTTCAACATACGTACATGTAAACAGAGGGGAGAGCTCTCAAGCACCATACTGAAGCTCTTTCTTCCCTCCCACCGCTGCACTTTGGAATTCCCCTCCCATCATCATCATCATCTCTCTCACCATTCACTTACAAGCTCTTACAACAACAGACAACAACTTCACTTACAAGCTCTTACAACAACAGACAACAACAATAACCTTGCTCGATGCAACAAGCGTACGAACCCTCACCGATGAAGCCGACGCGTGGCCGCTGTTTGTCGCTGGCCGTTTGGTCGTTTTGTTTTTGTTGTTTGTTCTTGCGCCCGTGGTAAAACAACAAAAAATACCATCAACAACCTCCTTGCTGCACTGCCTCTCCCTACAGCTGTCCGCACACCACGCACGCCGTGACCTATGTTGAACGAGTGCCCCTTTTTCCCCCCAAGCCAGCGTCTCTCTGCCCCACCTCGCCATCCGCACGGAACAGACCGTGCAGCCAGTAACAAACGACGCAATGCCCGATCCACATATACGAAGGAGACGACGCAGCGGTGATGCACTCTGCTGCTCCTCACGCTGTTATCTTGGCTTGAGCGCCTGAATTTGAAAAAGCCATTGTGGCTCTGCACCTACATCAGCCGTACACAAGTACACAGACAAAGTTCCCCCGTTTAACCGTCATAGACTGGTGAGGCAAGTGCTGTTAGCGAGCACCTATGAAGGCCGGCACAGCAAACGAGAGAGGGTGGGTGGCCAACACAGCGCCCGGCCGCCTTTGTCTCCACAGCGGCGATGTATACACACCGCATCGGGGTCATTTGCGGCTGAGTCGACCTAGAGGAGGCCCAGGACCGGTTCAGATATAATCTTCACCTGGTGTTGGCCGGTATAAAATACATATTCTCATTCTGAACTCGGGTCGCCGGGTTCGTAGCACAGCGCCGCTAAGCGCTACCCCTACCCGCTCCGCATGGCAGTGTGACTCTCCCCCCCCCCTGCCACCGCTTTCAACCCTCCACCACCTCCACCACCGCCGCCTCCATCACCTCCACCACCACCTCCTCCACCACCGCCGCCACCACCGCCACCTCCATCACCTCCACCTCCACCACCACCGCCGCCTCCACCACCACCACCGCCGCCACCACCGCCACATCTCCGGCTTCACCCCGCAAGGTCCATAAGCCGCCTTGACTGATGGGGAGGTGTGTGCTCTAGTTGACTGTGCTGGCCACCCACGGGCACAGGGAGTCGGATCGCCATGCAGACACTTATCGTAGCCCGGTTTCGTGTTTGTTTGCACTTTGTTTATTGGCGGTCTTGAAACGAGGTTCGCTCTGTCACCCCCCCCCACCACTCCCCGTCTCTGTCTCCCTCTTTATAGTTATCTCCAAATAAGCTGTTCCACGCGTAAATCAACCGGCACACGAGCGCCCAGAGAGACTCGTCTATTCATCTGTGCACGTCGAGCAATGAATTGTCCCTTCTATTTAACCACGGCAGCGCCCGTTGATTGAGATTCATCATCTAACATTTTAACACCCCCCCCCCCTATATAAACATTGTAGATACCGTACTATATATACCTGTTACGATTTAGACGCCCCTAAGGTTAAACATTTCGATTGTGAGATGTCGCGCATGTACGCGCGATCACCCGACTGCTCTTGTGAATACCGCCACGGAGTCTTCAAGGTGCCACCGCACGGCAAAGAGTCAATGAGTGTTCGCTCTCGTTGCACACGCACGGAGTCCTTGCCACAACTGAACCACGGGTACCTTTCTGGTCTCGTCAAGGTGCATGAACCACCACGCGCAGCGGCTTTTGGCTGAGCCATCGAACAAAGGCGGTCACCGCATCGCGCGCTTTCAGATGCGCTTCTGCGGCCGTCTGGAACGCTCTTCCTTCCGATATTTGGAAGGCACTGGAGCTATGCACCTTTAAATCTCGATGGAAAACTCTTTTCTTTAGAACTGCTTTTTATGTTTAGTTTGTTGTCCTTCCCCCGCACCTACGATCAACACAGTTGGCTATGTACAGTGCGAAAGAAGTTCAACATACAGTACATACAATAATAGCCGTACACCTACAGTACAGTACATGCGCATATGAGCAATTCGCGTGCACAAGCTAACAGGGTTGAATCCTGGTTAATGCTGGAATGGGCGACCGCCCCCCAATGCCACGTGTTCGTAGGCTACAGGGATGTGTGGTGGTGGTGGGTAGAGAGCAGCGTTCAGTACAGCAACAGCCATTGTTGTACTGCACTTCGATGCTCCCGGCCATCACAAAATCGGCACCGACAGGCGCGTTGAAGCAAGATCGAATAACCGCGACGATCCACGCGGCGCGGGGAGACACTCATCCAGCAGTGGAGTGGGCACATGTTCAGACAGCAGGTCGTTTATTCGAGAGGCAGTCACCTG